AGAAACCAGACTTGCTGACAGTGTATCACTTACAGAAAGCAACTATACATTCTACTGGCAAGGAAAACCAGAACAAAGCCCTAGAATACATGACGTTGGCTTCGCAATAAGAAACAGTCCCCTGCATCGCGTTGTTTCCCGTTGGCAATGAAAGAGTAGCACACATGAAATTTGCATCACCGCAAGGCAAAGTTAATATAATCTGTGCTTACTCACCAACCCTTGCTGCACCGGAAGAGGACAAAGACAGATTCTTTCAAGCTCTAGAGGACGTAATTAAAAGTATTCCAAAATCCGAGCACCTCTATATAAATGGAGACTTTAATGCCCGTGTTTGTGATGGAAATGATGCATGGCCACAATGCTTGGGACCTCATGGTGTTGGCAAAATCAATGACAATGGCCAAAAGCTACTCGAGTTCTGTAGCTCTCATGAACTGTGTGTAACAAATACATTCTTCTCTGGCAAGGAACGCCATAAAGTCTCTTGGCAGCACCCACGCTCAAAAAGGTGGCACCAGCTTGACCTCTGCATCACCCGAAGGATGGATCTGAAAAGTGTCATCCACACCCGTTCATACCATAGTGCGGACTGCAACTCAGACCATTCACTAGTGCTAAGCAAAATCAAACTACTTCTCAAGAAGGCTTATACTTCCACTCAACCCAGAACTAGGCGAATTAACGTCAACCATGTAGGTGACCCAGAGAAGTGTGCACTCTTTGGCGAGCTCCTGAACAGTTCAGTCCCCTCGTTAAGTGATGAAGAAGACATCTCTATCAGATGGGAGAAATTAAGAGATGTAATCTACAGTTCGGCAATCACCGCCTTTGGGCGCAAAAACACAAAAATGTAGACTGGTTTGAGGCGAATCTAGCACATACGGAACCTTGCATCGAGAAAAAGCGATCTGCACACCTCGCTCACAAGACAAAGCCAAGTCCAAGATCTTTAGAGGCCTTCAAAAGTGCTAATAAAGAGGCGAAACAAATGGCTAGAAAATGTGCTAACAACTTTTGGAGGGATACCTGCAACAGAATCCAAGACAGTCTCCACTCAGGAAATAGCAAAGCTCTGATGGCATTAAAGTGGCCCTGGGTCCAACAGTGTCTAAGCCTGCCCCCCTTCTATACAAATCAGGAGAAAAAATTACAGATCAAACCAAGCAGCTAGAACGATGGACAGAACACTACCTCGAAGTCTATGCGACACAGAATACAGTAGACGATGTCGCCCTGGCTTCTCTACCAGATCTTCCAGTACTGGAATGTCTAGATGATCTTCCGAGCCTCAGTGACCTTAAAAAAGCAATTAACTGCATAAAAAATAGAAAATCTCCTGGGAGTGATGGTATCCCAGTGGAAGTAGTGAAAGTCAACGAATCACTCCTGCTCCCTGAACTTTATATTCTCCTCATGACCTGTTGGGAAACAGGTTATGTCCCACAGGACATGCGTGACGCAACTATAGTCACAATATACAAGAGCAAAGGGGATCGGAGTGACTGCAACAATTACAGGGGTATCTCTCTCCTCAGTATAGTGGGCAAGATCTTTGCTAGAGTAGCACTATCCAGGCTGCAAGTGATAGCTTATAGAGTCTACCCAGAGTCTCAGTGTGGATTCAGGAGTGGTAGATCCACTATAGACATGATATCTTCTTTACGACTACTACAGGAGAAATTCAGAGAGAGAGACAGACCCCTTTACATCGTGTTTGTTGATCTGACTAAAGCTTTTGACATGGTCAGCAGAAGTGGCCTTTTCAAACTCCTTAGGAAAATAGGTTGCCCTCCCAAACTACTTCTGTTCATTGAGTGTTTTCACGAGGAAACTAAATGCACTGTGAAATTCAATGGAGCCCAATCAGCACCTTTTGAGGTTTGCAGTGGTGTCAAGCAGGGATGTGTGCTCGCACCTACTCTGTTTGGCATATTCTTCTCCTGTCTACTGCATTATGCGTACAACGACATAAACGAAGGTGTGTTTCTCCATACAAGATCCTCTGGAAAACTATTTAATGTATCAAGGCTGCGGGCAAAAACCAAGGTTAGGAAGCTACTCGTCAGGGAACTCGTGTATGCTGATGATGCAGCTATTGTGGCTGATTCTGATATTCAGCTACAGTGCCTGGTTGACAAACTATCTGCTGCTTGCCAGAAGTTCGACTTAAACATCAGTCAAAGCAAGACTAAGATACTTGTCCAAAACACAAACACTGCACCTCAAGTAAGCATTAATGGCCAACCACTAGAAACTGTTGATCACTTTTGTTACCTTGGCTCCATCATATCCAACAACACTCTACTGCATAAAGACATAAACAACAGGATAGCCAAGGCAATGGCCACCATGTCACGGCTGCAGAAAAGAGTTTGGGACAATATATTGCTGACTAGCAGTACTAAAGCCCTAGTCCACCGACCTGTGTGTTGAGCACCTTGCTGTACGGAAGTGAAACATGGTCAACCTACTCATGGCAGGAAAAAAAGCTGAATGTTTTCCACCTCCGATGCCTAAGGCGGATCTTTAAAATAAGGTGGCAAGATAAGATAACCAATGAGGAAGTGCTACAAAGAGCAGGGTGCCAGGACATCCGCTCTGTTATCATCAGCAGACGCCTTGGCTGGCTTGGCCACGTTCGTAGAATGCCAGTAGGTCGACTTCCACAGAACATCCTGTATGGCGATCTAATAAAAGGCAGGAGAGCCGCTGGTCGCCCACTTTTACCTTATACAGATGTATGCAAACGCGACATGAAGCTCTTCAAAATCGACACTGGCAACTGGGAAGAGGTGGCACTGGACAGATCCTCATGGAGAGAGAGCATAAAGGAAGGGTCAAAGATTGCAGATGTCATACACAACAGAAGCAGAAAGAAGGGTGAAAATGCAACGGCGCCTGGTGATTATATATGCCCAACCTGCGATCGCAGCTGTGTAACAAGACGTAAAATGCCACAGAGAGGCCGAGACGGGTAAACCACTAAAAGGACGCCCTCGTATTACATAGCGCCCCACCTTCATGAGAAGTGGGCACCGGTTGGGTAGAGGATGAAGATGTTGCAATGACAGAACTCTATGGGAAACCTTCCTTTAGAACTGACGTTAAAAGACTGGCAGGAAGTCCAAATCTTTTAATTTTATTCGCTAACAATAAATAGGTGAATGTGGCCACTCATAAATGAGTTACGCTCCCTGCGTCCTTTGGAGAATGAATATCTACCGTACACCACCGAACTATTTTTTTTTTTTAATGTCATAAAGATCTGCACATCACTTCACTGAGTATGAAGTTTGTTTCAGTGTATAAGCTAATTTTAAATTAGACTCTTTTTACTATCAATGTTAGAGTCTAGCACGAAGTGGCAGTAACTCTTGCTATTTGTTGGCTCCAAGTACTTACCAGTGGTAGGAGGTGCTGAAGAGAGATGGGTAAACAGCCTCTAAAACTTGGATATTCCCAGTAGCCTCCCTTGTTACACAGCCTATTGACTGTTCCTAGAGGTCATTGATATTACATAGATTGAAGAACAAAAAAAAAAGAGGTTACAATTGTGTAAAGTATTTAGAAAATGTTTACTAGACTCTACCATCGTGCTCTTCTATATAACATCTGTGTTTTACATATAACATTGCGTTCGCATATAACATTGGGTTCACAATAGTTCACATATAACATTGGGTTCACATATAACATTGGGTTCACATATAACATTGGGTTCTCATATAACATTGGGTTCTCATATAATATGAAAATTTTTTGGATTTTCTTCGCAAACATGTTTTTTGAAAAGTAAAAAAAAATAAAAAAATATTAACCCAAAAGTAATGTATTTAAAAAAATTCTGAAGAAATACTTAAGATTTAAATTATTATAAAATTATTATTATTAATTATTACCAATAATTATTCAAAGGACTAACTTGCACAGATCAATACAAACTTACATATACAAAGCTATATAGATCTATTGCATTTTGGCTGAAGTGACATTTAAACGTACCTGTGTACCTCGGTGAACATGCGACGGTGGACAAACCGCCAGTGATCGTTTCTGGAAAAGAGACGCCATATTCCTGAGCAGCTAAGCATACACCAATCTTTTCTGAAGGAATCTCTGTCATTGTAAATGTAAGAATGAAGACTGGTTAAAAACACTATTTGTATGTCCTAGCTTATCAATGTAATATCATCATATATGTAATATGAACTTGCAACTCAGCTCAAATAAATGTCGACTATTTCTTGTTTGTTTGACGCAAGAACAATGCACATTATTTCGAGCAGATACCAGCATCGTGTTTGTAGGGATCAGTGACAGAGAATTCAAACAAAAACATGGATTACATCCAAGAAAAATCCACATAGTTGATGTTTACAGAAAAAAATAAAATGTTCAACTTATTTATTTTTCTATTTGATTAAGCTAAATAAAGTCAAGTAAAACTAGTTCTATAGTCACCTGTTTCACGAATATATGCCTCAGTAGTTTCACTGGCTGGAAAAAAAAGTAATAGTAGATTATTTATAGAGTAACTCTGATCTTAAGCTAAATAAAGTCAAGTTAAACTAGTTCTATAGTCACCTGTTTTACGAATATATGCCTCAGTAGTCTGAGAAAAATCACATGACAAAACACATGCATTCATGTACACAAATCTACTTTGACTAGATGCAAGAACACACATTTAGTTTCATCAAACGCAAACACACACACACACATCTAGTTTGACCATACTTAAGAACACACCTATATTGATCAGACACAATCACACACATTTCCGATGACCAGAACAAGACTTAATGCTCGCTACATAGCTCCAAACTCCAATCCTGTTCTCACAGAGCCGCAAGACAATTTCGCCGTTACCAACATACTGCACGGTGGCGCTCTCCAACATTTTGAAACACAGGCAATCATACAATGGAATTACAGGCTGTATGCATTAAATACAAAGTGGCTGGATAGATAGATAGATAGATAGGTAGATAGATAGATAGATAGATAGATAGATAGATAGATAGACAGATAGATAGATAGATGGATGGATAGACAGGTAGATAGAGAGTGAGAGAGAGAGAGAGTGGGAGATAGAAAGAGAGACAGATTATGACAGACATAAAAAACACATAAAACTTCATTTATTTAAAATATTTTTTATTCTTTTTTTTTCTTTCGTGTGCCACGTTGTCTTCCTGTACACCTTACAGCCTCTAGGCTCTACATGTTGTCTTCCTGTACACCTTACAGCCTCTAGGCTCTACATGTTGTCTTCCTGTACACCTTACAGCCTCTAGGCTCTACATGTTGTCTTCCTGTACACCTTACAGCCTCTAGGCTCTACATGTTTGTCTTCCTGTACACCTTACAGCCTCTAGGCTCTACAATTGTTGCCATTTACTGCTAGTCAATCAACTTTCGAGGGACCTAAAACAAATGAAAAACACTTTGTAATTAGTCTAACTGCCTTCAGGCTACACATTTTATTACATCCTCTTATCGGCCACTAAAAAAAAGAGAAAAGATTTAAAATGACATTTTTTGTCAATAACAATAATAATAATAATGATTCTAATATTAATTTTTTAAAATACATTGTTATTGTTATAATAATAACCGTAGTCAAATGTCATAGAGTTGAGGAAACAACATAAAAACATAAAATGTTAATATTCAATGTCATTAATAACCTGTAGATGTAGAAATATGGGAGTGCCTTAGTTCCAAGCGCCGTAGTTCCTAAGGATTACTGAGCAGGATTTTTTTTTATAATTCACTTCATTGAACAGAGAAGTTGTCTAGTCAAAGCATATGTAGTGAGAGAAATAGAAAACAACAACAACTGATATTAACCATTTAACCGTTGGGAGAAATTGTGTAAACTGTCACAGTGTGGTCAAGAACGACAAAGAATAGACAGGAAAAAAAAACAACAAAAAAAAACATATAAAGTGTAATTGTGTCAATTAGTTTGGATGTGATTTAATTTGTAATAGATCTATAACAATAATAAATATGTGCAAGCAAAATGCTTATGAAAATAGCTTGATTTCTATCTATTGTTAATTTTCAAACTTGAAGCTAAGACCTAATTCTCTACACAAAGTTTAAAACGGGACTAATTTAATGTATACAGCCACATCTGTCAAGTACAGTTTCTTCCCCTTAATAAACATTATTAATAGTTACCGATACACAATAATCTACTTGTTTAATGTTTTTAAAAAAATCGACTATTGTTGTCTCACTTACAAGAAAAAATTTTGCTAACTTTTAACTCGATTTAAGACTGGGTGTGAGAGAAATAACATGCACAAAAATTGTATCAGACAGACAGAGTGAGTTGATATAAACTTTGTAAAAACAACAGAAAAATAATAAATGGATGTATCATGGATTAAGGACGATTAGAAAGAGACATAGAAACAGAAAGAATAAACTTTTCCTGATGTACACATTACGAGTCATTGATCATGTTGAACTGTTATTAATAAACTAGGTTGCCATCATAATCTTAGTTGCCAAGACAGAACACTGACATAGCCATCTTAGATGTCATAATATTACAATTACAACGACACGCAAACAAAATCATCGAAAAGTTAAATACAAGCAGTTGATATAAATGATTAGCTTGCTTTGTTCCGGTTGTTCCTTCAGAGTTTAAGATTATCTACATCCTAGCCCAAACCTTTAGCAGGACGACAGGGAAAGGATAGCTAGCAAGGTATTTTGCTTTTAATAGCTAATGAATATTAGATTAGAAACAAGACAAGGTTACAAAGACAGTTTGTGTGAAAACAAAAACTCAAAATCGTCCCCAAAGTGGCCAGGCAGGTAAAAAGGCAGGTTTCAATATCTTTAGAAAGAACATCAGAATAAAATTCTATCAAAGACAAATGACAGAGAAGAATGGAGAAAGAAGGTTGACATATCTTGTGTGGTGCTCCAGAGGTCCAGCAGACCAAAGGATAGGTGAAAGTGAATGTGAATTCAGATGTAAACCTGGCTTACTGATGTCTTATAATGAATATCTAATTTTTCTATTTGTTTTTTAAAGGGTCAAACTCTTATTCAAATCCACAAGAAAAAAAAAATAATTTTCCTTTAGTTACGTGTTCAATGGCCATGGTGTAGTGCTGCAGTTCACACGATGATATGAAAAACTACTTATTAATTGTTGTTTTAAATTATGTCCAACTAAATAGATTTTTTTCTCTTTAAAAAAAGTAAACATTTTTTGTGTTAATGTAGTAGCTAGTATGGTAGAACTAATTTTTGACAAAAAATCTAAAACCCTTTGCATAAATATGTTAAAAATATGGTAAATCGTTGCGCTCCTGCTTAATACCTCCCGTGTTTGTTACTATTAATTTAATTGTTAATAGTTGTAAAAGTGGTATATTTTTTTTATGAAAAAACAGCTTACATAAGTAATTTAAAAAATTAGATTTTTCGCTTTCAGAAAAGAAAAAAGTAGCAGTTGCATCAGAACTTTGAATGGTCTAAAATATTTTAATGTCGGATTTTTACATCTTTTCTAGTTTACGAGATCTAAACGGGACGGACGGATGGACGGACAGACATTCCACACTAAACTAATAGCGTCTTTTCCCCTTCCTGGGGACGCTAAAAATACCTTAAAAAAAAACAACAAAAAAAACAACAACAAAAGTTTATATTAGAAGTTTGGATCAGTCATGTAATAGATAAATTTATAATAGATCTAGACTAACAATAATAAATCTGTGCGATAATAAATATTTTTTATTTATTGTTTTTGTTTAGCGAGACCTCATACTTTTGCTTTCTCATTACGCTATGATATTATCACTTGTCAGGGCCAGTTGGGAAATGAGTTGAAAAGGAGGGGGGGGGGAGAGGAAAGAAGGGGGTATCTTTTTAAATGTATTTTAAAAAAAGGGGGTGGGAACGACATGAATTCGAACTTGTGGGTTAAAGACTTGTCTGGCTATTCAAGCCTACGCGGTAATGTAAGTATCAGGCTGTCTAACATCCTTTTTTAACTCTTTTCGACCTGTGCTCTTCTGGCTAGAAGGAATATAGCTCTGAAGATCCAAGGATATGTATTTGTGAAGCTCGGAATCTAGAAAAACTCTTGACACCTGGGCGGCTCCCTTGTGTACAATCAATTTGTTCTGTGATATTATTATACCTTGAACTGGTACATTTTAGGATTACTCTGCATTTCAGGGATTTTGATAAAGTGCATACATGTTACAAAGCTTGTATCAAATAACTCTGTTCTCCGACACCCAATCTCGTTTCAAGTCAACTGGTGACTCTTGAAGTTTCTTATCTTCTTATCTTATATAATACAGACGTTACTTCAAAAAAGAAGATGATTACGTCCTACGCGTCATGCATTTAGTCATGCATATTAACCAATGACTTAAATTCCTCCTAGTCACTGGTTTTTCTGGCTAGCTCATTCCATGCTCTAATAGCACTAGGGAAGAAGGAGTATTTGTACAAATTTGTCCTAGCATAGGGGACAAGGAATGTGCCTTTATTTTGTGTCTTTCAGAGTATTTTATTAAGTTTTGTTTTTGTATTTGAAGATTATGGTTCAGTGTTTTATGTATAATTGCTACTTTACTTTTGAGTCTTCTGTCCTGAAGGCTTTCTAAATTTAGTGATTTTACTAATGGTGTTACTCTAGTCAACCGGTGGCTCTTGAAGTTTCAAGTCAACCAGTGGCTCTTGAAGTTTACCTAAAAAGCTTTAATCAATAAAAAATTTACCAAATAGTTAATTATTTATTGGTAATGAATTGTTTTAACTGGCATTGAATAAGGGGAATAAATGCTAGAATGAAGAAATGAGGCTGTAAATATGGAGTTATTTCCTTAATACGTTTTGTTTTCGTTTTTTTTCCCACTTCCCATTAGGATCAAATTGAAATTAAGAATAATTATTTATAGTTGATGACAATACAAGAATCATTCAAAATATTAACCATTGAGTAATAGGTAATTAATTTTTTTTAGACATAAACACATAAGGAGCTTTGAAATATATGGCTGTGAATTTTTGTTCTTCTCCTTAGATAACCTTTGTTTTTAAAAAAATATTTTAAAATATTTTTTTCTACATATTATGTGTGCTAAGGTTTTTTTTAGAACAAAGTAATGATACAGCCCTTGGACAAAATACTTGATAAAAAAATACTCACTGTTTCTGTTTTATTAGTTGAAATCTCTTCCCACTCTTGTACGTGTCGAGTCCAAGGGAACTCCTATACAATCAACCTATGTTAGCCATTGTGTTCAACGATTGATGTTTATATAGTCAAGAGAGGACGGCCTGTCATGTGACAGCCTTCATTCCGTGTCTTCACAAACAGACCTCTTCAAGTCAAGTGTCCGTTTAGATAGTGTCCCACTTTGTACGCCAGATATTTTGTCCTATTTCCATCTTGTTCTATATTTTCTTCCTAGTTGATAAAGTAAAAACAATGACATGCTCCAAATAAAGTCATAACTTATGACCACTTGTTAATTATAAAACTAGTTGAATGTCCGTTATGGGCTACTATCTAATAGGCCTACTTTGTGTTGCATTGTTAGATCTCACAGCCCAACTCTAGGCCTTTGGTGAAATGAGGAATTCATGTTTTGCACTTGATCCAAAGTGTAATGCGACAGTCTCGGTCTAGACATTGCCTGGACTATCAAGTAGAAACTAAAAGCAAATCTAAAAAGAAAAGCTTTGTCAATAATATTTTTTTCCCTCTTGAGTGTCACCCCGTTGATGGGTGTCAAACGATGCGGTCCGCACCCACTGTCGCTTTGCAATATTTAGTTCCCTGAAGACATCTATGATGTGCACCCACGCACCAACTGATTTTTTTTTAAATAAGTAGAACAGGATCTAAAACAGTAAAATAGGCGACGTCTTATCTCTTGGCTTATTTCGTCCGTCATGGTCAGATCTAAGTATTTGACAATTTATCCCATTATCTAGCCAGTCAGCACAATAAAGAAATGGAGAGTATATTAACTAGCTAATCACCACACTAAAGAAAGGGAAAGTAAATTAACTAGCCAGTCACCACTCTAAAGAAAGGGAGTATATTTACTAGCTAGTCACCACACTAAAGAAAGGGAGAGTAAATTAACAAGCCAGTCACCACTCTAAAGAAAGGGAGAGTATATTAACTAGCTAGTCACCACACTAAAGAAAGGGAGAGTATATTAACTAG